ACGATAAACTTTTTCAGGACTTAATCAACAGGAAGACTATAGGAGCGACCTCTTGTGGGGGTATGTCTCTCTATCAACCAGGTCCACTTCTAGCCTCTTAACCACCATTACATTCAGAATTAGTAAGGCCTTTGGCGACACACGTACCGCAAAGACCATAGCATTAGAAATCTCGAAGGAATTCGACTAGTTGTAGTAGAAAGGTTAGCTAGACAAGATCTACAGCTATGGAATTCACTAGAAGCGTTTTCTTTATTATAAAATTATGAAATATTCCGAGTCAACACAGGCATCCACCCTCTATTTGATTTACATAAATGATCTGGCTGAGAATATACTTCGATCATTTGTAAACGTCTATGTCGATGATACGATGATATACGGGCGCATCTCTAAAGGTTTTAACGATCAGATTGACAACTGACCCCACTTCCGATTTAACACTAACTTCCCACTGGGGTAAATCTGGCAGGCGACATTCAGCGATTCTAAAACCATACTAGTTACATTCCATCACCGCCGATCTTCACGGTGAACGGATGTTAGCTTTTTCTCACACCGACCTAAAGGGAATTCCTGTATACGATCCATCGCCAAAGATGCAGGTAAAATGATCGACTCCTTGTAACGCTCCAGTAAGCACCTGGCTGCTTATGCTATTGTCTACCTTTATAAGGACCAGATCAGGCCGAGAATGGAGTACTGTTGCCATATTTGGACAGGAGCTGCCCATACTTCACTTTCCAGTATTGATAGAGTTCAAAAGCGTCTTCATGTCCTTGTGGTAGAAGAATTATTTTTCACCCTCTAACCTCTCTCTCACAGGCGGGATGTGGTTAATCTCTCACTGTCTTATTGCTACTTCCATGGAAATTGCACAGAGGCCGAACTGCATCTTCTCGTTCCATCAGATCTGACTTTTACAGCGAGAACCCGTTATTCCACATTCATAGTAACAAATAACCCACAATCCCTCCGTATTCAATCGTCGAGAAATGTTCCACTCAGGCAGCTTCTACCTACGAATCACTGCCCTATCTAAAAAAAAACACACACTAGTGGATGTTTCCCCAGTCATAACCAGTTCGAGTCTATTGGCAACAGTTATTTTCCCCTCCTATTCTCCTTATCGTAACTTTCTACCTTGAGTCCTGTACAGGGTGAATATTACTGTAAAATAAATCTGAAGCATAATTATTAATATTTGTTTGTTTTCTCATTTCTGAATTCGAAAACATTTGGCATGGGGCGTACTAGAATTATATACTTATAAGCAGAAATGCGAATCTCAAGAAAGTTGAAGAGTTATCAAGGAAAAAAAACATGTGAATATACGAACAAGAAACAATAACTTTAAAAATATCACAAAAAGAGATCTGATAAAAAATATAAGGGTAATAAGCTAAGTAAGTAGATTGAACTTGATATATATATATATATATATATATATATATATATATATATATATATATATATATATATATATATATATATATATGTTGAGGGTTCTCCTTTTTACACAAATGGACTCACCCAGTATATACATATACTACGGCTAACGTGAAGACCGAGGTGTCGAGTCGAGTCGAGAGTAAAAGGTTGTAGGTAACCAGAAGAGTGAGGGGTGAGGTAACAGCGTTGTAGGAGTCACAGTGAGCGAGCACGTAGACACAGTAAGAAGTCATACAGCGATACTTCAATTTTAAAGACTGCATATATATATTTTTTACCCTAACCCGTATTCCTGGAACTACTAACCTGCTTTACCAGTTTGTATTATTACGTTAATATATTATTTTTCATATACTTATTCCTGGCGTTTGTTATTCATTGGTACCGGATTTCAACCCGAATCCACAACAATATATATATATATATATATATATATATATATATATATATATATATATATATATATTATTCGGATAATTGTCCTCATCTTTGTTGCCATATTTATCACAATGTACGCTCCGACCTTCTTCAGGTGGTTGGAATGTCGAAATGAATCCATTATTTTGCTCGCTGGGGTAGACTGTTCTATTTCCACGTGCCACGTCTATCCGTTGTCTCCTGTTAATTCACCTCTCCAAGTTACCGGATCTAATAAACGCCTTTATTCATTGTGCCATGTACCCTTGTGATAAATATAGCGACAAAGATGAGGGCAATAGTCCGAATAATTTAAATAATGTACATAACACCTCATCTCACAAATGAAGTAAAAAAGATTGGCACTTATCTGTAGATATATACATATATATATATTAATGTACATATGCATGATTGGATGTATAACTGTATATATATATATATATATATATATATATATATATATTTATATATATAATTATTTTTATAAAAAAATTATAACATAAGTATGTTATAAAATCACTACAAAAATAGCCATTTTGTTTCAACACACTCTGTGTCTTATCAAGTAATGATGTTTTTTTTTTTTTCAACATCATCACTTGATAAGACACAGAGTAATAGTTGGAACAAAATGGCTATTTTGTTTCTGATTTTTATAACATACTTATGTTATAATTTTTTTATAAAAATAATTATATCTGCTTTACTTTGTATTGATCACTCTTTTAAGAATAGTAATTGTTGGTTATTGGAATTCATTCCGTATATACCAATTATATATTTGGGTATATATATATATATATATATATATATATATATATATATATATATTTTTCTGCATATCAATATTTTATTCAAAATAATACACACCCGGATATTCACACCCAAAAATGCCCTTGTGACTTTCTGGCTATACTGACTTGCATGGGTTGAATTTCATTTGAAAAAATATATACACATATATACAAATATATAACATATTTCTACATATACATGTTTTACTTAAAATAATACATGCATATAAATAAATATAAATGTGTGTGCGCTTGCGTGCTTGTGTATTCAAGTGTCTTACACACATATATATATATAATAACGTACATATATATTAAATGATTAAGTATTATATATATATATATATATATATATATATATATATATATATATATATATATATATATATATATATATATATATATATTGATGTTTGTTTGTGAACCTGGGAACCTGGGTTTTTCACGATTTTGCGATCGTCAGATAAGTACATCGCATATAATATATAAATAATATTATATATATATATATATATATATATATATATATATATATATATATATATATATATATATATATATTTATATTTATATACACACTATTCACACACACACACATATATATATATATATATATATATATATATATATATATATATATATATATATTACATACAGGGTGTACATAAAGTTTGTGTGCACTTTTAAAAATTTATAACTTTATTTGTATTTGCAATAGAAATAATCTGTAAAAAATGCTATAAATTTTAATGTACCTAGTTTTAAGTATAGCTAAAATGACTAATGTGATTTCAGGCATTGCTGTAAATCAGTTGGCAAATATTTTTTCCATGAACTGCAAAATCGTATTACCCTTTGTATTGCTATTTGATGGACATATGGAAACTTAAATAAAATTTCAATAAAACCTTAAAAATATAGATTTACTTCTTTCTAATCCTTTTTTCAAATTATTTCTATCGCAAATACAAATAAAGTTATATTTTTGAAAGTGCACACCCTATATATATATATAAAATAATTATAGTAATATATATATATATATATATATATATATATATATATATATATATATATATATGCAAATTTATAGCTTATTTATGCACTCTAATATTTTATACACAATAATAGACGCCCGCATATATACATGGGTGTGTGTTTCATTCTTATATATTAATATGCCAATATTTTTTATCCATACGGAGATTTAGTCCCACGCTCAAGTATTTTGGCTAATATATTATGATTTATGCGCAATAAGCAGCGGAAAAGATTTTCTTAATAACTCTGACATTTTCTGCTTGTGATTATATTGACGACAGGAAAAGTTGGTCAACGAATTCGTTTTCTCATCATTTTATGACAAAAAGACACAATCTCATTTTTCCTACTTTTCTCTACATCTTTTTCGAGTTTGTCTCGTTGTTGGATAATGGGCTAGAGAGGTCCAGAGAATAATGGATAATCTGTCTATTATGAAGGGAAAGATTGAAAGAGCAAACTAGCAAACTATCAAGTTAGATATATGGATACAAAGATACTCACATACACGCGCGCACGCACACACGCGCACGCACACACACACACACATACACTCAAACACACACACACACACACACACACACACATATATAATATATATATATATATATATATATATATATATATATATACAGAGAGAGAGAAAAGGTGATGAACAAACTATGAACTGAGACAGGTAGAAATGCATGTAAATGTTTAGTATAAAGTAATTTAGATATGGACACACTGACAAACAGATAATGGACTGAGATAGATAGATAGATAGATAGATAGATATGAACAAGCATAGATAGATACGAACAGAAATAGATAGATAGATAGATAGATAGATAGATAGATAGATAGATAGATAGATATGAACAGAGACAGATGTTAACAGACAGACAAGATAGATAGATAAATAGATAGATAGATAGATAGATAGATAGAAATGAACACGCAGACACAGATGTGAACAGAGAGAGTTATGAACACACATAGATAGATGTGAACATAGATAGATAGATAGATAGATAGATAGATAGATAGATATAAAACAGAGATTCTCATATATATACATATGTATATTTATATATGAATAAAAACCAAAAGAATATATATATATATATATATATATATATATATATATATATATATATATATATATATATATGTATATATATATGTATATGTATATATATTATTAGAAACATACGCACTCTCCAGGGTACACATATTTTTTCTAATAAGTTTTCTCGAATATTCAGACCGGTAGATGAAAATAAATGACTATACTGTTTAATAAATAAATCGATGATCTGCTCAAATATCGGTATCCAATAAAAATAACGTTTAAGTAAACGATCTTCTTTTTTTTTTCGTACCAGGGATACCCATGTATTTTTCTAGAATATTCTCCATATTTTAGACAACGTCCATCTCCCTAAATCTTTCGTAATTTATCTACTATTCAATCTCTTTTAAGGTTTATTTTTCTCTTCTCTTTTTATTTTCTATACATCTTATCTTTCATTTTCTCTCTGTGTCTTCCTTATTTTATCTCTTTCTCTCCTTCTCTTTTTAATTGTGTACAAAATATTTATATTTCTGCATTAAATGACCCATAGAGATGTTGATATGCCGAAAAACAAATCAACCAAACCTTCCCTGTTTCTCTTATTCCAATTCTCGCTTTCTCTCTCTTTATTTCAATCACCCTTAAAACTTATTTTCTTTCTCTTTTTAGCTCTCTCTATACATCTCTGCCTTTCTCTTTCCATCTCTATATTTTTTCTCCATATCTATTATTCTATCTCTTTCTATCCTTCTCCCTTTTTCTTATTCTTTCTCTTTTTTACGTTTATTTTCTTTTTCTTTCGTCTTCTCCTACGAAAGTATATTGTTACATTTTCTCCTGCTTTTCAGTCCTTTAACCACCTCCTCATCCTTCTCCCCTTTGCTCCTTCCTTACCCTCTTTATTTTCTCTTGTCCTTTCTTTTATTTCTCTCTCGACGTCTTCCTCGATACTACCGCTCTTTTCTTCTCCCCTCTCTTCTTTTCCGTTCCTTAAAATATCGTCTGTTTCTGCGGGGACCTACAACTATCTCCCAAAATATTTGGCATGATGAAACAAAGTGGATTTCAAGAATAAAGAAAATGTCAATGTAGTTGATAGGGGTCGCTCTTTATGTTAAAATGTCTACGATTATTAGTCGGGCGGCAACTGGGCGTATGTATAGTAGCTTTGACCCGCTCATTTTGCTGGTGGTGTTATGGGTAGTGGAGATAGCTAGGATGAAGAAATTTTGGTAAGTCATCAGGTTATTCATTTAACCGGATCTAACAGTGTTGATTATTAACAAAATGAAACAGGTATAGCTGAGAAATTAAAAAAAAAAAAGCTGTAAACGATTTTACGGATGGAGCTTGTCATATGCCACCGCTGGAAGCAATGTAAACTCGATGTAGATAACAAAATAACTAGTTTGTAATTCACGTCGAACAAGATAGAAAGAGAGGGGAGAGAGAAAGTGTGAAATTCCCTGAATGTTATTCCTGAAGAAGACGAGAAGTCGAAACGTAACAAGAACAACAAAGTAAAAGACGATATATCCATAGACATGGACAGGGTGACGAGAATCATTTCTTCCCTCGCAAGGCAATAAAAGCCACGAGGATGGAAAGGATTACTGAAGTTGTTAGAAACAGAGGACGCAATGAAAAACAGGATTCAAGAACAGGTCTTTTTTATGATCATCGTTGTCAGAAAAGTAGGTAGCTGGAAGAGAATTCCACAGGCGAGAAGTTTTGTTTTTTAAACGTTTCACACCAAGGAAGGCAATAAAGCCACTAAGATGCAAGGGAATAGTGAGATTTAGGGAATATAAGAAAAACTACTACTAAGGAGAGAAGACAATAAAAAAATAAGAATTAAGAAGAAAGAAAATAACAACATGTATTTAAATGTTTGAAGATCAAATTTGACTGAGAAGCAAGAAGCGAGGAGAGAGTTTTGTAAGCGAGAACTGCGAGAGAATAAATTCTTTGATTAAAACTAACAATTTTATAACGGGAAAATAACTCTTAGCATAAAAATAGCAATTTTTATTGTGGAGAAACGCTTAGCATAAAACTAACAATTTTATTGCAGGAAAAAGAAATTCTTAGAATATCACCACCAATTTTATTTTCGGAGAAAAAGAAACTGTTTAGCATAAAGCTAAAACAATTTATTACGGCGAAAGGAATCCCTCAGTGTAAAACTAACAAATTTTATTGCGGGGAAAAAGTAACTCAGCATAAAACTAACAATTTTTATTGCAGGGAAAAGAATCTCTTAGAATAAAACTAACAAATTTATTGTGGGAAATAGAAACCCTTAGCATAAAACAAACAATTCCTGTTGCAAGTAAAAAGAAACTATTATCATATAACTAATAATTTTTATTGCAGGTGAAAAGTAACACATACCATAAAAATAACAAGTTTTATTGCAGAAAAAGAAACACTTGGCATAAAACTAACATTTTTTTCTTGCGGGAAAAATACACTTTTAGCATAAAACCAACAATTCTTATTGCGAGGAAAAAGAAACTCTTAGCATAAAAATAACAATTTTTATTGCAGGAAAAAGAAATTCTTAGCATAAAACTAACAATTTTTACTGCGTAAAAAAGAAACACTTTGCATAAAACTAACAATTTTTATTGCAGGAAAAAGAAACTCTTAGCATAAAACTAACAATTTTTATTGCAGGAAAAATAAATTCTTGGCATAAAACTAACAATTTTTACTGCGTAAAAAAGAAACACTTTGCATAAAACTAACAATTTTTATTGCAGGAAAAAGAAATTCTTAGCATAAAACTAACAATTTTTACTGCGTAAAAAAGAAACACTTTGCATAAAACTAACAATTTTTATTGCAGGAAAAAGAAATTCTTAGCATAAAACTAACAATTTTTACTGCGTAAAAAAGAAACACTTTGCATAAAACTAACAATTTTTATTGCAGGAAAAAGAAACTCTTAGCATAAAACTAACAATTTTTATTGCAGGAAAAAGAAATTCTTAGCATAAAACTAACAATTTTTACTGCGTAAAAAAGAAACACTTTGCATAAAACTAACAATTTTATTGCAGGAAAAAGAAATTCTTAGCATAAAACTAACAATTTTTACTGCGTAAAAGAAACACTTTGCATAAAACTAACAATTTTATTGCAGGAAAAAGAAATTCTTAGCATAAAACTAACAATTTTTACTGTGTGAAAAAGAAACACTTTGCATAAAATTAACAATTTTTATTGCGTGTTAAAAGAAACACTTTGCATAAAACTAACAAGTTCATCACTGAATTTATGAAACCTAGCTTTCAATCTAGTGCTAATCTTACAATCCCTGAAGGTTGCATAGATTAATTTATCACCATCTATAACTCCTGGCCGTTTCTTTCTTTCTTTCGTTGATTCGTTCGTTCTTTCTTTCTTTCATTGTATAAAAAAAAATGAATCTTTTTAATTTCTTTCTCATTTTGGGCTGTATGAAAAATGTCGTTAGCGAAGCGATCGATCCTACTTTACTCAGGTGAATTGGGATGCAGAACTGTAAATGGTTCACAGTCTACATGTAAATCTCACACATGGCTCCAAGAAATCGCATGATCATCGTGTCGACCAGACCTTGGTCAATGGCAACGAACTGCCGGCTTAAATGTGTAAATATGTCGGAAAGGTTACCTGATCCAACCGGTGAAGGGGAATGCCTCTATCAAACCGACCAGTGCCAAGCGGCTATCGGCCAGTCGCCAGCCTTTTCTTAGGAGCTACGCATCATAGGTGGGCTGAGGAACTTCTGAAACCAGGGACAAAGTAACCACAACATACCTGGTAAAAAGATAACCAGCAAGCCATGGCACAATTCTGCCTTGAATATCCACATGAACTATAATTGAGAAATGAAGGGATGTGAAGATCACAGCGGCGCAAAATGTGCTAACTGAATAAATGATGACGACTTATCTCCCCATTACTTTATCCACACATATCACACTTGGCCATATATTAATTCTTTTTCTTTTCTTCTTTCTTTTCATAAATCTTTATAATTTATTTTTATTTCTCCCTCAATTTATTTCCACATATCGTTCATTCTTTTTCTTTCTTTCTTTCTTTCTTTCTTTCTTTCTTTCTTAATTTTAATAAATATTTTTAATTCTTTCCTATTTCCCCATTGATTTTTCCTCACATAGCACTCTTAGCCATATTTTCTTTCTTTCTTTTCATAAATCTTAATATTTCTTTTTTTTTATTTCCTCATTAATTCTTCCTCACGTAGCACTCTTAGCTATATCGTCTTTCTTTCTTTCTTTCTTTCTTTCTTTTTTCATGAAATCCTCCCAATATTTCTTAGCCATATCTTCTTTTTTCTTTTCTTTCCTTTCTTTAATTCTTTCTTTCTTTTTTCTTTCTTTTCATAAATCTTTATATTTCTTTTTATTTCCTCATTAATTCTTCCACACGTCTTTCTTTTTCTTTCTTTCTTTTTTTTTCTTTCTTTTTTTCTTTCTTTTCATTTTTTCTATTTTATTTCCCATTTTTTTCTTTCTTTTTCTTTCTTTCTTTCTTTCTTTCTTCCTTCATTTTTCTTTCTTTCTTTTCAAATATATATTTTTGTCCCCATGAATTTATCCTCACATATAACTCTTAGCCATATCTTCTTTCTTTTTTTTTTCTTTCTTTCTTTTTCTTTCTTTATTTATTTCTTTCTTTTTTCTTTTGTCTTTCTTTTCATAAATCTTTTATATTTTTTTTTTCCCCATTTTCATCCCCTACATTTAGCCATATCTTTATTTTTTTCCTTCCTTCATTCTTTTTTATTTCTTTCTTTTCATAAATATTTTTTATTTCTTTCTTATTTTTCCATGAATTTATCCTCATCTTCTTTCTTTATCTTCATTTTTTCTTTTTTCTTTCTTTTTCTTTCTTTCTTTCTTTTCATAAATCTTTATATTTCTTTTTATTTCCTCATTAATTCTTCCACACGTAGCACTCTTCGCCATATCTTCTTTCTTTCTTTCTTTCCTTTTTCTTTCTTACATTCTTTCTTTCTTTTCATAAATCTTTCTATTTTATTTCCCCATTAATTTTTCTTCACATAGCACACTTAACCCCAACTTCTTTCTTTCTTTCTTTCTTTCTTTCCTTCCTTCATTCTTTCTTTCTTTCTTTTCAAATATATATTTTTTGTCCCCATGAATTTATCCTCACATATAACTCTTAGCCATATCTACTTTCTTTCTTTCTTTCTTTCTTTCTTTCTTTCTTTATTTATTTATTTATTTATTTCTTACATTCTTTCTTTCTGTCTTTCTTTTCATAAATCTTTATATTTCTTTTTTATTTCCCCATCAATTCATCCCTACATAGCACTCTTAGCCATATCTTATTTTTTCCTTCCTTCATTCTTTATTTCTTTCTTTTCATAAATATTTTTTATTTCTTTCTTATTTTTCCATGAATTTATCCTCACATATCACTCTTAGCCATATCTTCATTCTTTCTTCCTTTTTTCTTTCTTTCTTTCTTTCTTTCTTTCTTTCTTTCTTTCTTATTTCCCCAATAATTTTTCCTCACATATCACTCTTTGCCCTTTTTTTCATTCCTTTGTTTGTTCTTTTCATAAATCTTTTAAATGTCCCTATTAATTCATCAACGTATCTTATTCTTTGCCCTTTTTTTCTTTGGGACTCATAATATTTCCTTGCTCATTCTCTTTTTCAATTTATTCTCACTCCTCTCTGCATTTCTCCTTCGGCACCCCATCCACTCTCTCTTTTACTTAATTCTTTCTTCCATGCTCTTTTAACCATTATATCTCACCCTCATTCCCACCCCGCTCAGACCTCCTCTGTCTCTCTCTTTCTCTAAATCCGTTACCCCACTCTCTCACTCTCACCTTCTATCTTTCAAAGTGACGAAAACATTTACCCTAATATTTGCTTCTCACATATTTTTCGCTATTGTTGTTGTTGCTACGTTTTATGGCCACTCGATTTCTTCTATTTGTTCTCGACAATGATACATATATTCTTAAATATACATTAATCGACAACGACTTGCCTGAGTGAACAGGCCACCTGAGGTGCCACTCCCCTTCAAGTCGCATTAACCGTTCAACAATGAAATCATTCCGCCAACTACAGGCAACACTCCACTTACTGATCGACACTTTTTTTCCCTTCGTTGCTTTTTCTTTCACGGAAGGCAGCAGCGAGTGACTTAACGCTGAATGGAATCGGTGCTTCGGGTTCGAACCCCGACTGGAATAGCTCACGCTCACTTAATAATAATGCGCCTGAAAATGGCAAGGATCTATTTCTTCCCGACCCCGAAGATCCAAGCTAATCGCTTGGAGAATTTTATCTTTCTGAAAGCAATTCATCTTCAATGTTTGTATATTAAGTTATTTCAGAGAACGCCCAAGTTTGTTCGTGCCATATAACCCACTCCAACCTGTCGTACATGGAAAGAAGAAAAACACGGTCAAGTAGATTCGTTGCACTTACTGATGCCAAGAATATACATTAATCGACATTATGGTATGTTATAATCTTTCTAAAACTAGATCTTCTGATTCATGTAACACAAATTTCTACCACTGGCCGGACGTAAATGCTTCGAAACCCAAGACTGAACAAAAAATTTGTCAACTGCGCATTGGCTCCGCACATATCTTCCGTTTTAATTACACACTCAAAGAAAAATACAATCCAGAATTTCCACCCAATAGAACCCACTCCCGCCTTCAGAAGCAAAATAAAAATTAGAGTCGATCTGAGCCTAAAAAAAAGGACATCAAAGGGACATCTTCGGCAGTTGGACGGCACAACAGCCAGGATTCACAATAGCCATGATTCACAATAGCCAGGATTCACAACAGCCAGAATTCACAACAGCCAGGATTCACAATAGCCAGGATTCACAACAGCCAGGATTCACAATAGCCAGGATTCACAACAGCCAGGATTCACAACGCTCGTCGGAACGCAACGTCCCATCTCCAAATACAACTTGTCACTGCAGTAAGTCATAATTCACCCATTGTCTCCTACCGTACGCCTCTGTGAACTACTTTTAGGATTCTACTTATCTCTTTCTTTCAACGAGAGACATTTAGACAAATTTAATATATGTTGCATTTTTACGTTAATACAATTGTTTATTTCTTAAATCTCCGTCGTTTCTTCTTTGTTCTGCCACCACACGGGTAATATAGCAGGTCTGTTAAGTGGAGTGTCATCTTTTTATATATATATATATATATATATATATATATATATATATATATATATATATACAGAAGTGTATGAAGAGGAGCCTACTCTAATATTTGGAACGGAACAGGAACTAGAGTTGATCCAAAATTATTCAGACAATTATATGAGACCCAATATTATAAAAAATAACATATTAAATTCACTATATTATAAATTGTCAGGTGCTAACATCTTTTATTTCATCCTCATTTTCTATTCTGAACTAATTTGGCGTCATGCTTAGCATCCATATCAAACAAAATCCAGTTTTTACATCATTCGGACTATTGTCCTTATCTTTGTCGCCATGTTTATCACAACGTTTCGGCCGAAATGTTGTAATAATTATGGCGACAAAGATGAGGGAAATAGTCCGAATAATGTAAATAGTGTACATAATACCTCATCTCAGAAATATAGATAGATAGTAAAGTGCCGAAACGTTATAATAAATATGGCGACAAAGATGAGGATAATAATCCGATTAATGTAAATAGTGTACATAATACCTCATCTCAGAAATATAGACAGAAACTAAATCCATTCTAGAAACATTTACAATGAGTTTTATCAATTACAACCAAAAGTAGCACTTCCTGCTCGGTCAAAGGTCGCCGAATGTTTCCTTATAAGGAAGTAGATAGTATTACTATTACGAATATCACCATTCTACAGCTATAGTAATCCATATACTTATTCAGCCTTTTGACAAAGCTCCAAGAAATGTTCCAACACACTAAACACGAAAAGGTCGACCAGGATAGTTTAGCCATTATTGTTCTTCGGTACACCCTTCAGACATATTTGTATCGTCCAAGATTGAAAGGGTAAGTAATCGTTCGCCATTGGGAAAAAAGTTCTGGTATGACTGTGAACTTTTCAGTAAACTCTCGTGTAAGGGTTTATGTGTACATTGATCTCGTAGTGGGCTGCAGTTGTCGATGAAACTCCCTTACACTTTTCACGTTGATATTAATTCTAAGCGAACCTTGCGTGAAATCGTAAAAATATTATTAATAAGAAACGGCAAATTGCTTTTCGCTAACAACACAAGATTCATTCATTCGGAATTGATTTCAAAATGAGAAATGCCCCCATTTTTTTTTTTTTTTTTTTTTGAACGGGTCTTGCCTGCTCTGTAGATGGTTCTTCTTCTTCTTCTTCTTCTTCTTCTTCTTTCTTTCTTTCTTTCTTTCTTTCTTTTTCATTCACTGTTTTGTACACTTTCAGTCCTTTTTTTGATTTCTCCTTTGACTTTGACTTTTTTTTTCTCTTATTAATTCTCTTTTTTTCGTTTTCCTTATATTTTTCATTCTCATTTTATTGTTTAATCATATTTTCTCTTCTTTCTTTTGTTCATTTTTCGTTCCGTTTTTCTTTTCTTTTTCTTTTTTCCGACTTTTTCTATAATTCCTTATTATAAAATGCATAACATATTATATTCATGTATTTGCTTCATTTCTTTCTTTCTAAATTTCTTTCTTTCTTACTTTCTTTCTGTCTTTCTTTCTTGCGTTCTATTTACCTTTCTTACTTTCTTTCTGTCTTTCTATCTATCTTTCTTTCTTTTTTAATTTCTTTGTTTCTTACTTTCTTTCTGTCTTTCTTTTTTCTGTCTTTCTTGCTTTCTATCTTTCTTTCTTTCTATCTTAATTTCTTTCTTTCTTACTTTCTTTCTTACTTACTTTCATTCTTTCTTTCTTAATTTCTTTCTCTCTTTCTTTCTTTCTTAATTTCTTCCTGTCTTTCCTTCTTTCTTGCCTACTTTCTTTCTATTTTTCTTTCTATTTTTCTTTCTTTATTTCTTTTGTAACCTAGAAAGAGTTAATGAATCAGGAATAACCAAAACAGAGGTTGGAAATGAAAATGGTAATCTTTATAACAAGAGTGGAGTAATGGTAAATTCAAACGTTAAACTACATCCGCGTCCTGGCTAAGACGATAAACTTCGTCCAGCAGCAAGGCCTCTGAACATACGAATCTATCCTAAAAATGTTGTCGGCATTAAATAACCCATTGAGGTTGATATGCCGTAAAAGAAAATAAACCAAACCAATCTAAACCAAAGAATACATATTCTATTCATAGGAATCTATACTAAAAATGTCGTCGGCATTAAATAATCCATTGAGGTTGATATGCCGTAAAACAAAATAAACCAAACCAATCTAAACCAAAAAATACATATTCTATTCATAGGAATCTATGCTAAAAATGTTGTAGGCATTAAATAACCCATTGAGGTTGATATGCCGTAAAACAAAATGAACCAAACCAATCTAAACCAAAGAATACATATTCTATTCATAGGAATCTATACTAAAAATGTTGTAGGCATTAAATAACCCATTGAGGTTGATATGCCGTAAAACAAAATAAACCAAACCAATCTAAACCAAAGAATACATATTCTATTCATAGGAATCTATACTAAAAATGTTGTAGGCATTAAATAACCCATTGAGGTTGATATGCCGTTAAATAAAATAAACCAAACCAAACCCTCTTCTTTTAAATCTCTTTCTGTTTTCATTTGAAATTTCTTCCTTTCTTATATTCTATTGTTTGCCTTCATCTTCGCCTCTTCCTTTATCAAACTAACTGGTTCTTTCCCTTGCATATTTCAGGATTTCTTTTTTTCGTCCGTTCTTTGCTTTCCTTTTGCATTCTAAAGATTTCTTCTTCATTAGCGTCTTCGTGCCTTTGTCGTTTTCCATATTCACTTTCACAATACGTTTTTATATAGAGAAACTTTATGTATTTTCATATATCCGCATGCATGCACAAACAAAAATATCTAATGTAATATTTTCTCATTATATATATATATATATATATATATATATATATATATATATATATATATATATATACTCTTTTCATACATGCAAACACTGATATATGTGTATATGTAAGTGTGTGTGTTTGTGTGTGTATGGCTTGAACTGGAGAAATAAATGACTCATATCTATGTAAATATATAAACGCTCTATATATAAAATGTATACTTTTATTGTCTATTAATAAAGCCGTAATTACTAGTGAAATGTTAGACCCCACCAATAGTAATTTGATAGCCTTCAGTAAATAATTAAAGAACGCCTCACAAGATCAGTGAGCTTTTCACTTAAAGAATGTTAATAAAATGTATTTAACATAAATAATATCAATAAAATGTATTTATATTAAAGAATGTTATTAAATGCATTTAACATGAAGAATGTTAATGAAATGTATTTAACTTAAAGAATGTTAATAAAAAGCAAAATTAATATTTTTAGATAATTCTGGCATTTTATTGAGAATTTATGAACTTTTATAGCAATGTGAATAAACTATTTCAACTATTTTACCCCTAATAAATATATTTTGAATAACTATTTCAGAAGGAGAATATATCTAATTTACTATGACGTGAATTTTGTCCACCTGCATTTTGCTTGATCCAAGAAGGCCTTTTTTTTATCTAGATTGAACGAGATAGGGAGCAGCCCTAGTTTTGGTTGAGGTTTTCCAATTTTGGGATTTACTGTTGAGAGCAATGGAATTTGTAATATTTACAAAAATTTCTGTTAATATTGAAAAATATAAAATATTGACAAACTATTTATCATATTAAGAAAATATATCTTATAAATAAATATGTCATAAATAAATAAATATGTCTTGTAAATAAAGCGGAAAGGCTTCTGATAGGATATGTGCTAAAGTATCAAATTTTCCGGTTTGACGTGGGTGACACCGTAATTACCTAATGAGCCAGACACGTAAAACCCTTATTGATAAGGTATTATATTCACTATACCATCGATTCCAAAAGGGTTACTGAATGAGGAATAACCAAAACGGCGGTTGGAAATTAAATGGTAATCTTTATATCAGGAGGTACGGTGGAGTAATGGATAGCGGCTCGGATTGAGGAATCAGAGAGCCGAGTTCGATTTCCAGTCGAATCCATTACATTCACTTATGTGCTTGAGAAATGTATGAATCATCTTCTTCTGCCCTCAGCTATGGGTAAATAGCAGGAGCGACCGAGTTCTGTAGCCTTGAATGACAACTGGTTTATAGCAGAATGAAATGGCAACCTATTGCGGGAAAATATCTGCCTCGTCAGTCATGTATTGAAAGATACATGATCGCCTTAGCGTGTATCATGCATGGCACATAACTGAGTGAATGACGTGCTAATGCCCTTAGGAAAGGTATGAATTCTCTTCTTCTTCAGGTTGCAGATCGTATTATTTTTAAATCAGCAAAAAGTTGGCATCATATTTCAAAAGGTCATGAAATAAGAGCTGAATGAATGTAAATTTTTAAGGTCTTTCGATTATTATAATAGTAAAAAAAATAAGAACTGAGATGATGGCTATAGGGAAATTGGTTGATACTGAATTTGAAGAACCTGCAAACACGCCATGGGTATGGTAAATCCCAATGCTTCATATGTCTAGCGTACTTCGGGAAATGCCGGTGTTTTGCAATCAATTGATGAAATTACCTTTGTTTTTTAATCAAACCATCCCGAGCAAAGTGACAGTACCAGTAAAGGCGCAAGGGACTGCTGTGAGTGAAAGAGCAGAAGAATTTTAATGGAACCGGAAACGCAATCCTAAACCGGAACTAGAGATAAACTTGTACTATTCAAAATAACGAGGGTTAGTGCGAACTTAAAGAAATCTTTACCACATTAATGCGTTTTGCAGGGATCGAAAGAGGGTAAGAATTGTTGGTTGGTACAAGATCAGGCGAATAAGGCAACTGGGGAAAAACAGAGCAAATGATGCAAAAGCTTTTTTCCCTGCTCTTTGACCTGCCATCTAAAACAACTTATTCCTATTGGCCAATGCAGAATGACAGTCGGTCAAACATTTATGGACATGTTGCAGCTGCTGCTGGACGTAATTTTAATGTTATTTTAAACTTTTCACCGCAAGAAAGGTGATGAAGCCACTAAGACGAAAGCGATGTACTGAAAGTGAAAGAGTTCCAGAAAAGAAACACTATTAAAAAGAGAGGACGTTAAAAGAACACGAATTAAGAAAATAGATGATGACGCTTGACGTTGCATATAGATTTTTGAAGCGCGAAGTTGACTGGAAAGCAAGAAGCCGGAAGAGAGTTCCATAGATGTACAGTGCGAGAGAAGAAACTGTTAGCATAGAACTTGGGGTTACACCTCGAAATTTCAGCAATAATGATGAGACCTAGCTGCTAATCTAGTACTGCGATTAAATTCGTGAAGTCCACGATCCGAAGGGGAAATATCACCAGAACAATTACCATAAAATTATTCTTAGAAGATTCACAGGGAAGCTACGATAGGGCTAAGAGAAAGTGACTGAAGCTGTGATGCCAGTTCAGGACCGATAACATTGGAGATTATTCTTTGAATTTTTGTTATAAAGCTCTAGATACATAAGTCCATATGTTCCATAACTCCGTGTTCGGTTGTTGGGATTTATCTTTATAAATCCATTGAATGTTAATATGATTTGTTAATATACTATAAACCTACTCTGGCTGAAGAATCACGGTGGAGTAATAGCGGTTCGTATTGAAGAATCGGAGAGCCGAGTTCAAATCTATTACATTCACTTACGTGCTAATACCCTTTGGAAAGGACTATGACGTCTTCACCTACGGTTCTATAGCGTTCGATGGCAAACTGGTCTACCGTAGAAAGAATTGGCAACATACTGAGGGAAAACATCTGCCTCGTCAGCCATGTATCGAAAGATGGCCTTAGCGTGTATCACGCATGGCACATAACTGACTGACTGACTTTCCAGTTGAATCCTTTACATTCACTTACGTGTTAATACTCTTGGGAAAGGTATAAATCCTCCCCCCCCCACCATATGGGTGAATAAATAGCAGGATTGATCGAGTTCTGTAGCCTTGGATGGCAACTGGCCTACCGCAGAAAGAAATGACAACCTACTGCAGGAAAAAATCTTCCTCGTGAGTCAGGATCGAAAGATACATGATCGCCTAAGCGTGTATAATGCATGGCACATAACTGACTGAAAATTATTCGCCATTACAATTAGTTCCCCATTGGTTCGATTGGAACTTCCTTCTTATTATGGTAATCCGAAGAATGGTCGGAATTGGTGGAACGACAGAATGTTGCTCGTAAGAATATTTGCCATAGAAATAGAGATAGATTAGCAACATTCTTGAAATCTTGGAAAATAATTCATCACCCACAAGGCCGCGTAGTGTTTTTTTTTAAGACAGGCAAGCTCTTATCTATTACCAAATCTTTCCTATCGGCTAGGTTCATGAAATTTGTTAACAGTCAGTCTTCTGAAGCTCATGGGATTAATGCAAGCGTCTCCAACGCTTCTGTTCTTGGTCCTAGCCTCTCTCGCCCTTTTGTAGTTTCAATTCTCATTCAAAATTCTTCATGTACCATAA